CAACTATGTGTACATACCAAAAATCAGGAAGAAAAACAAAGCTTTTCCATTAAGCACCGTTTTGAGTATATTTTTTGGCTACAGAGCACACAAAAGTTGACTTAAAAAGGTAAGCTTGTTAGCACTTGGATGTAGTTTTTTGTGGACTCGATGTGCACCCACAAGACACTCGTGGCAATTTACATAACAAGACCAGTTCCCAAGGCGAGTGGCGCACAATCAGTGGCGCTCCGCTCCGGCAAACCAAAGCCTGTCAACGCGTAATCCATCAAACAAGAGCGTGCAACAACATGTGAGGCAACCACTGCGAGCAGCTTGCAACTTGCAACGGATTAGACATATGTTGCGAGTGGTAGAAACAAACACTGAGAACTAGGTAGTTGCCAGTTGGCAGTTGGCAACTGGTAAAAATACCCCAATGGGCGATCGAAATCAATTTGGCGCTTTAGCACACGAACGTGCTTCAAACATGCCACGCCCACCACGCCTGTTGCCCCCACAGGAATTGCCTAGACAGCAGCAGCAGCAGCAGCAGACTTCAGAGTCTTGAGATTGCGCCTCAGCTGGCACCTAACTCTAATTGGGCATAATTTAAATTCCGCTCGTGAGCGCCATGAATTGTATTTAACGTTTTTGGCGCTTCCAAAGTTGGACTCTGGGCATCGATACCGAACAAAACAACTAAGACTCGTTGTGGCATTGGCGGTAAATTTCATTTGATTTTATTTGGATTTTGGTTTTTGTTTTTGTTTTTGTGTTTTTTTCCGCCTGCTGCTGCTCTACGCCACAGATTGTAGTCGCGCACAGAAACTTCCTTATTTGTATGAGCTTTGTTTTTGCTGCGACTCGGCCTGTGACTCCTCCTGCTCCTCAACCCCGCCCCCTGCCCCTAACAATTTCTTGGCTTAATTGGTTTTGCGCCTAGAGAACTGTACAAGCCTCTACGATGCCTTAGTTTTGATTAGAAGGCGGCTATTAGAAAATTGAATACACGAGTTCCTTTTAGATGCTGTGTGAAAGTCACAGACGAAACTTAGCCAAGATTTCTATCTGGTCATGAAAAATTGCATCACAGGTTACCCAAAAAAAAAGCAAAAAATAAAACGTGCAGTTCTTCAGTGGGTCATAAAGTGGGTGGAAATACTTGAGGGTCTTGAACTAACAAGTGCTTTGGGAAATAATTTGGACTGGATTTTCTTAGATCCCAATACAATATTGAAATAAAAAAGACATCTAAGTAAAGCTGGGATACTAAAGCTATTTGTAAGGCTGCATACATCGCCTGCGCTAGAATATTTCCAAGTGCTTTAGTTAAGTTAATTTTGGGTAGAGCTTAAAAGAACATATTGAATATCAAAACGAGAAAGACATCTATCTAAAGATAAAATTCAAAAGCAGTTCCTAAATATGTGAATAGATATGACAGATATTTGGATATTTCTCCAAGGGCTTTAGGTAAAGTAATTTGGGATAACGTTCAATCGAATCTATTAGAATACCAAACTGCAAAGCATATCTACTTAAAGATAGAATTTTAAAACTATTTATTAAAGTCTGAACAAGTCGGAGCTTATTATAAAGCGCATTTGTCAAATGCCTGCCAAGTTATTTGTTTTCTTTCCTGTTTTCACAAACTCCTTAATGTCGTCTTCAAACTCTAATAGACTTCAATTGTCCGCAGGAAGTTGTCACACTTCATCAAGAGGCCAATCCTAACTCTCAATTCACGTCTAACCGAACCATTCCCAGAAACAGAAACCAAACTTGTTGGCATGCCAAGGCCAAACGTGTCTCTGCGGCCTAACAATTTGTAAGCCATCATTTCAATTAAGATGCATAAATCACAAGGAAATCAGCAGCAGCCATGACGATGATGATGATGATGATGAGATGATGATCATCCAGCTCGTACACATCGTTATCCTCAAGTACTTAAACAGAGCACTTAAACAGGCACTGGGCAGGCGCACAGCCTACGCAACCAGAGCTGAACCTTTGCTTAACTCGTTGCCGCATTTCTTTTCATTTTGGTAAACGAACCAATTTAAACGGCGCAGACAAAGGGCGGCCGACTTAATCCTTGTCGGTTCGAACCGGAGGAGTGCACAAGGGTGCCGTAAATAAGGCGCTGCAATTGCAGCAGCAGCTCGTGAAACTGCTGTTTCACGCTTCGACAAATGCCCTTTGTGCTCGCTCGATGTGCTGAGTGTTGAGCCTGCTGTTGTGTTGTTGTTGTTGCTCTCGCCGCCGTTGCAGCGGCAACAAATTGCATCAGATACAAAACGTACTGCCAGATACTTTTGGCGTGGTGAACTTATTAGGCGCTGCATTTCGAGGATGAGGTATTTATGTGAGTGCCACGAATTGAGTTGCAAATAGCCGGCGGGCAACATGAAACGTGCGCCACCGTTACTATGCTGAGCCTCAAGTGTATCTTTCAGATACTTTTCGCAACAGATACATTGTTGAGCCCGTGTTGCCTGGCGTTAAGTGTCGCCATTCGTTGCGGATGCATCACCTGCTGCTCAAAAGAAGGAAAAAAAACAACACGAGAGCACAACAAAAGCACCGCAAGGATAATCAGGAATGCCCGTTGGACTGCTGTGTCCCTCCGTCCGTCCCTAACTGGCCACTGTCAAAACGAATTTAGGGTCAAACAATAAAGTGTAAAATGCAAGAGACAAGGGCTCAAGTCGCAAGGTGCCGGCGGGCGGGCAACAAATGTTTTTCCTTAGCACACCGGAAAATCCCATTGAACCCAATACGTATTTCTATATTTCAAGTACCTGTAAAAGTCACAGCTGAAGAACAACACTGGGCAATCAACAGGTAAACACTAGCGAACGCACTAAAGTCGCCACCAAAGAGAAAAGAAAAGAGAAAAATTTGAGCGAAAGAGCATACAAATAATCCCGCTTGTGGAACGTAAGTTTAAAAAAGTGTAAACAAAACAATTGCCGGTATAAAAAACATGGTAAGAGCTTAGCTTGATTTAAAAACTATTTAAACTCCCCGACAACGCGATAAAAATGTTCTGGTTAAAATAAATTTATTTGCATTGATCTTTGTAGATCTCTGTATTTTAATCTTCATATAGGTCTTTTTTAAGTAAAACATCAACAAGCAACATACAAATTCTGCTTAATTCTTCTTTAAACAATGTTTATTTATTACAATAAATTGTAATATTTAACTCATTATTAAAAAAGTTTTTATTTTTAATTTTGAGTAAATATAATATTAGCGAGTTCTTCAGCTAAAAATTATAATTTTATATTATTTTTTGATTTATAGGATATTTCATTATATTCATAAACTAATTTCTAAATTTAAATTGTTTTCTAAAAATTACCACAATGTTTTTCAACAAGCAATTGCTGAGCTTAATGCAAGCTATGAAAAAAACAAAATATTCATGAATATTTAGAAAAATAATTAAACTGAACAAACTTAACTGCTTAAAAAAAATTTGCTTTATTTAGCTCCCATATCTTCTAGAAGGTCTGCAAGTGCAGCATGTTGCGCCATAAGGAACGCAAAGAGAATGCACAATACGTTCCACAAAAACACAATCAACACGATCCCAATGCCACTTGCAACCGGAGCTGTTCATGTGGCCTTTTTGCCGCCAGAACTAGCTTTAAACAATGTGAAATACGAGTGTATAAGATTTATTGGATATTTATAGAATGACTAGATGTATTTCTTCTATAGACGAATTTATATAATAATGCTTTCTCATAAAATAAATTCACTCATAAAATAAATTCAAAATTGTCTAACTAGACTCATTCAGCTATGAATTATGTTAAAAACAGTATTTGGTACTTTCATAAAAGAAATCTTTAAATATGCGGATATATATTCAACATATCTTCAACATTTTTATATATTTTTTTCAATAGCTCTTAGATTTTTTATGCAAGTCCAAGAATTCTGAGGTAAGCCATAATTAATGCATATATACAAAAATGTAGTTAGAATGTTTTGTACGATACAAATAGCTGCATTCCAAAATCGTCTAAAGAACATATTAAACAATTATTAGAATAATAAAGAACGGTCTGATTTCCGTTTAAAAAAACAGCTCTTCTTCAGCTCTTTGCCTTTTCAAGTCAAGCCAAGTTGGCATCACTGAGTGCAACGAACAGGCGGCACGATCAGCAAGCCGGCACGAGTGTTCGGCTCAGTTTGGATTTGACGGTCGTTTGTGTAGGACGCGGCACTCGCTCGATAGCCGGATGCGTTTCAGTTTTCAGATCGTAATTTGTCGGTGCGTCGCTCGGTCTCAGTTGTTGATAGTTCCGAGTGGGATACTTAGTGCTACTAGTAGTTAGTATTATCGCTGATAAATGAGCGTGTCATAAAAACTGCTGGCAATTAAATGATAATGCAGTGCCAATAATAAATAAAAGCGAAAGTGCTTTATGCAACTGCAACCACAGATCGTGCCTATATATATAAATATATATATATATATATTGATAAAAAATTGTTTTTTTTTTTGCGCACTTGTGTTGAGGATATACGAAAATAGACAAAGAAAAATTTGTCGCTGTCGCCGCGTGCAAAAGGGGCCAAAACGTGCAACAGAAATAAAATTAAATAGCGCAAAAATGTGCGTAAAATAAATGAGAAATGGGATAGAAATGAGCTGCAATGCAAAGAGTAGCGTATGCGCAATTCAAGTCAAATAGAGTGCTAAAGGAAATGTGTATGAAATAATAAAAATAAAAGTCAGCCAAAAACGTCGCGACGACAACTGACAAGCGGAAATTGTAAAAAAGATTTGAAAGAAATAAAGAAAAGAATACAAATTAAATAAAATTATGAATGAAAATTCTTGGAAATGTGCTTGAGTGCGCGTTTGGTGTAATACAAAAAGTATTAAAATATATGAAAAGGGCTTAAAACAAGTCAAATAAAAATATTCATTTAAAATTTAAGGCACCAAGTTCAAGTGTAAAATGTGCTTTGTGTAAAATTTGAGTTTGGTTTGCACATTTCAAAAGAAAATGAAAACCAGAAAGCTAATCAATTGGGTCAAATGCTGCCTCCTACTGCAGCTGCTGATCCTGTTGTTAAGTCAGCAGGCTCAAGGCAGGCGTTCCAACGCACAGCTGAAACGTCTGCAAGTGCAGTCACCCGCCCGAATGCTAAAGGAATATACAACGCAGACCACACTCAATGGCAGCTCCGTGGAGCAGCTGGAGGAGGAGAGCATTGTGTCCTGGACCGGCGCACGCATACAGCACGCACGCAAGTCGAGCTCAACTCGTGGACAAAATCCGCGTCGGCGTAAAACCAAAAGTGGCCTGCTAATTGAAAGTAACATCAGCGCTGAGCCGACCGACCAGGCAGCTGCTTCCTCCGAGATCAATGCCAGCAGCAGCACTAGAACGGGCAAGAAATCCAAACAGCGTGGACGCAACGGACGCCTCCAAAGAACGGACAGCAAATCGAATGCCAATGGTAAGTCGTTGTGGCCATAACTATGAGCCTGGACCGAACAGTTCTTAATATGGCTTTGATCGATTGTTGAGCCCAGTGGCAGAAGGAGAAAAAATAAAAAGAAGTCGCCTCGTTACTGCGGCTTCCTTCTACTGGCCGCGGCCATGTCGTGTCCAACGTGTCCAACGCGCGTCCATATTTGGGCGCTCAAGTTGAAAGAACTTTCATGTGAAAGTTGTGACAGGAGGAAGAGATTTTTTTCTACTTATTTTCTTAGTTCAGTTATTTTATTTTATTTTTTTTTTTTTTTGTATTTTTACAAGTAATTCTATACGTTATTACGTGAGAGGTCCAGTTATGGGCCAGCAATGTTGTCGTTGCCTTTGCCGTTGTCTCGCCCAGTGGGGCTTGCTGCTGCTCCATGCTCAACATTTGCTATTCTTGTGCTTCTTCTTGGCCAGCGCAAAGGCTTTGTCATGTGAACTTTGCCTATTAGGCGTGCGATCTGCATAGCTGCATACCTGCTTGAGCAACTGAGCGACTACAACCCGGTTATAAAACCACATTTCTAATGCTATTCATATCAGCAGTATATATAAAACTTTTCATTATTTCAATTCAATTTTCTCTTTCCAGAGAGAGACTAATGATCAAAGTGGCTTTCATTCTAGTTTAATTTAATTTAAAACCTTGCTTAAAAGCTTAAAAATTTCCATTATGAATTGAAAATTTCAGAACAATAAATAGTTTAGCACAAGAATTTGTTGGATTATGTTGTAAATTGTTTATTTAAGAAACGTTCTATTAGAATTCTTCGAAAAATATTTTCAATTTGCGAAAAATGGTTATTAATTAATTGATTTTTTTGCCATACCAAAGTAAAGGAAATATAATGAATACGCCCTATTATAAATGAAATGATTTATGTATTTAAGACAGAACATCACGCACAAATGTGTCTGAAATATGTCTTTTATTTACTCAAGCTCAACGCTATTTAACATCTGATTAACACAAACAAAACAACAACTGTTAGTCATAGCGAAAACAAAGAAAAAATTGGATAGCAATTGAAAATACTTTAAAGACCCACAACACGAACTCAAGAACAAAGCCAATCAATGTGGAAATACCCAAAAAAAAAGGCACATGCTCTATAGAATGTACAGCTCTCTAGTAATATAACATAGGGGTTGTGTGTGTGTGTGTGCTTGCGTGTGTGTGTGGGTTTGGGCATTTTACTTTGAGACCATCTGAGAGGCGCACATACACATGACCCCTTACGGAGGACAATAGCGCCAGGCTCTAGAGCGATGCCGCCTACTCCTCTACACTCTGGTAATTGTGGTCGTGCCTAAAGAAGATGCCCTAACAACAACAGCAACAACAGCTCATACAACAACAACAATGCACACAATGGCCAATTGTTAGAGACACATAACCCTCTGGAGCACATAATGGTTGGGCTAGTTGCGTGCGTAGCCGAGCATCGTATGGAATATGTCAGGCAGGAACCGCAACACGCGCTAATAGGAACATATGTTCCAGCTGTTAGTTCGCATAGGTGTTGACCAAAACTCCGCCTAGGGTCTAATACAATGCGGCAGACGGCGACGACGACGACGACGACGACGATGAGAACGGGCCTTCTGCTAACTGGTTATACAAAATTAAGTGGCTTATCGTGTCGAGTCGTTGAAATTTGTTATGGGCCTAAACTGATTGCTTGCTCGAAAAGATGCATTCCTGTGGTCGCTTTTTAGAGCTTATGACTTGCTAATAGATTGCGCTGTGAATTTAAAAAAAAAAGAAAAAAGAATTGCCTCTGGATATATTTAGGGTTGGGAGTTTATGGGGCGACAAAGTGAGAGAAGTTAAAGAAGTTTTATGATAATCATGTTGTTAATGTTGACGCTTGTTGACAGTATTTTGAGCGCTTCTAAAAAAATCGTTGACCTAGTCAGATAATAACGTAAAATATGTATAACCGAATTTACCGATTAATTTTAAGGGAATATATTATGATAGGTTTCAAATGTTTATTTACCCAATCGATCTCACACAGAGTAAAACTGTTTGAATTGCCTAAAATATCAGTTTGTAAATTCACAAGAGACTGGCCTAGATATTTATTATAATTTAATTTACCCTTTTCTAATTGCATTTCTGAATTCTAAATTATTAGTTATTGTTAGCAATAACTAATATGTTATTAAAGCAAAAGCAAAAACTACAACATCAACTAGCCAAATAAATAATAATTCTAAATAATATTTAGAATTTTTATTGAATGTTCTAATTTGTGGATAGTTTTACCAAACCAATACAAATAATAATAAAAATAAATTATATGTATTTTATTTAATATTATTCATTATCTTTTAATATATTTTTTTAATTTAATAATTTAATTGTCTTTCATTGTCTTTGGTTATATGAACATATGAACTTGATTTGAATATTATTGATAAGCATGTTTAATTCTATTCGTTTCCGCATACTTTTGCATATAGATTTTACAAAAACCCCATGTAGTTATGAAGACAATTTAAAAATATTAATTAAATTTAGAAAACTTTTTAAATTGCTACAGATTTATAAACATTTTCGAAAGCCCCATGAAGCTATAAAGAAATACTTTAAAAATTTAATTCGTAACTAATAACATTCAATTATTATTTATATTTGCATAAATTGCTTAAAAATTATAAAAAAATTTGAGTTGATTACTATCAAAATTTATTTATATTTCCATTAAGAAATAGACAGAACATAAATCGAATGTTTTCCAAATAAGAAGCAACCCGGACGCTTTAATTTGTAAACATCCAAAGTAGAATTTTATAATAAATTTTCTTTAAGTTCCAAAGCTTTAGAATAAATTCATAGTATCTTGCAGACAAATGTTTAAAATGATTTAGGCTTTAAAACTTTAAATACGAACAAAGACTTGTTAACGGAATGCCATGACGAAGTCTTGGGTCAAACTGAGCATTCAGCATTCAGATTCCCTAGGCCCAACCAGACCCCCCCGTAACTCATCAATATGCATGTTAAAGACTTGCGGCACTTTGGCTTCCTAGGAAAAAGCCCTTGACCAATGCATTTCCCAATAAAAAAATGATAACACTGAGAAGCCAAAAGCAAGTTCAAAACTTTTGCTTTTCACGCTTTGGCCGCGAGGCGATGTTGTAGCGTAAAAGGCAATAGAAAACCAACAGTAAAGTTCACTAAACTTCTACAAACTTCACATGTCAATAAAAAATTAAAAACAAATAAAAGTCAATGACAGGCAACAGCACAGCAGCGACGCAAGGGAGAGGGTATTAGAAGGGGCACACAGCAGTTCCGAGCTCTCGGCGGCATTTTCCCACAAATCTAAATTTCCAGCACTCTGCGCATTGTGTAATGCAGTTAACAAGAAGCAAACAAAAATATATATATATAAATAAAAAAAAAAAACAGAGCCGCGTTAAAAATCAATGAAGAATTGAAAAATTGAAGGCTTGAAGAATGCATTCTTTAAACAGTTTTTTCTTTTTTTCTTGTTTGAATGGGCAAACAGCAGCCGTTGCAGCTTTCCCGCCTGCCGTGTGTAAATATCAGTTAGCCGAGCTGGCCCCATGACTTGGGGAATCGTGAAATCTTATATCTATATATAGGTATATAAGTATATATATCCCCACACGTAGCAGCTAATGAGCTGATAAAGTGTGAGTGCGTGTGTTGATTAGCCATGGCTCAAAGCACAGCAGCAACAAGAAGGGGAATGCAGGCAGGCAGGCAGGCAGCGTGGGCTCAATCATGCAGTAGCAGCATTGTATCTAATGCCCAAATGTATCTGTATCTATATCTGTAAGTGTAACTTGTATCTATGGCCTCTTGTTTGACCCATTTCGTGCCGAACTTTCATTTTCTCTAATCTAAACAAGCCATCAATCAATTAATGCCAATAGCTGGTTGAATTTATCTGCAGCCTCAGCCCCCCATTCGGCTTTTTATAAATAGTCAACACGCCGTTTAATCGCCAATAATTTGCTCAATCAATTCGCTGTCTCAGCCGGCTCAAGGCGCTGCCCACTTGACTACACGACTGCTCACAGAGTGCTGACAACTTGTTTTTTTTTTTGTTGTTTTTTAATTTTTTGTTGCATCTATTTACAATTGAATGATTTAGAAAACTCCTGAACGCATTTTGATTTGCAATCATTATCGCAGCTGTTTATAAAGTCTCGTGCTTGACTTTTGATGACTTGCTTGAAAGTTGCTTAAGCTGCAATTGAGTTTATCTTGGCGAACTAATTCACGAGTGTTTTTTTTTATATCTATGCATCAATTAAATGGCGGTAGACAATATGCACAGCACTTCAAGGCGAAGTAGTTAGAATTGCATTCCACACACTTTTGAGGCGTGCGAACTTAAGTTTTTGGTATTTCGTTTTATATCCTTATCCGATATCTGTAACTCTTTTAGTTACCTTTACAGTTTCCCATTTAAAAGTATTTCCCCCAACATATTCAAGACTTTGATATATTCCCGTCAGTTGTAACTTTTTCCCCGGCTCATAGTTGTTTATCTGGAACTCCCCATAAAAATCTCACGATATTCCCTCTTTTTGCCTCCTCTGTTGCATCTCACCTGCAATTTGTTGCTCAGCGCCCTTTGTTGTGATAATTTATTTAAATGCAGTTTATAGATCATTGGGTTTTATGTGTGAAGGGAAACACGTTGAATAGCCGAAACACCTGGCCATTTTGCTGTCTACCTCTCGATTTGTTTATGCAATATTTTTTGCCCAGGGTTAACGGAAGAGCATAATTACAAGAGACAGCTGCTGGCACAGGATTACAAACTGCCAAAAGTAAGGCAGGGCAGCAGAAATATACGAAAGGTAGATACAAATTCGCAAAAAAAAAAAAGGATTTACAACTGCACTGGTTGAGAAAGTATTCAAAAAATGTCTTAAGCAATACAAGTTATTTGAACCGAGGGCCAGTTGAAATGTAGAAACACATGTCAAAACTCCACAAAAACAATAAACAAGCAAAAGATGATGCAGCGTCAATTGGGGAACTCATTAAAAAATAAACAAAAGCTGGGAAATACAATGGTTGCGGACCTTCTTTTCCCGGTTATTGTTAGGACTGGTAATTTGATATCGAAACCTAATATATCTATACAAATTGCGAGCGCGCTTTTGAAGTAAAGTTCCAATAAATAAACCACTTAAGAACATAAAACTAAAGGGCAAAACAGGCATTTACAATTTTTATAGATCAGCCCGACAAGAACCCGAAACAGACCAAAACATCATGTAAACATTTTGTTTGGGATTCATAAATACAAATACAAAAAAAAAAAGCGACGCAATTTGTAGCTGTACATAACTTCTACAAACAAACAAAATTTGTAACCAAATGAACTGAAAAGAAGATGTAATACTAGACTCTAAGGCGGACGACTCAGAGATACCCTGTAGCTACGTCTAAGGTGGGATAACCTTGCCAAGACGAATTACATTCAAAAAGTTAATAAATATACCATCTTTAAAAACCTCCAAAATGTAAGCCTGAGGTCTTACAATAACTGATATCTACTTGCTTAACCTGATCGAAATCGATATCGAATCGATTAAGGAGAGTTCAACTCAAAATATTGGGTTAAAAATCTCTTTTAATAGACTTTGAGTAGTTTTCCAAAACTTATTGCATAAATAGCAAAAACAAGCCTACATATACATATTTATATATTTGAAAATTACTTTGATAGTTTTCCTAGTCTATTATAGCCGTTGTTAATTCTACAGGGTGTTAACAAAAGCTGCAGCTTAACGCTGACAAGCTGACGGCGGACAAAATGATCTATAGGAATTCCTCAACTCGCAGCTCCCAAACTCCCAAAGAGTGTGGAACTGTTTGAGGCGCTGTTTACATAAGTAGGAACAACATTTTGGTTTAGGCTGGCAATAAACTTATGCTTAATTGCTGGCAGATATCTGATGGTTCCAGGCAGTTCGACAAAGCTTTGAAGTGCCCCTCTGGCGTTTGGCTATAAATTAATGTAATAGGCCAAGTTTTGATAAGAGATTGACGCCGCCAAGCAGACGGCAACCCTGTCCCTCTCTCTCCCACTACCCTGGTTCTATCTGCAGGGCCACCGGAACATTTAACGGGTCAGCGGGACAGCGACTGTTGATGTGCAGCCCGTGGAAAAACAAATTCGTAGCTCGTTAGCACAGACACTTCAGATAAGAGAGCGGGAGACACAGAGAGATGAAAATGCAATGCGCTCTGATTGAGGTTGCGGCAGTTCCAATAAATTTGGGCCCAGAATGCACGTAATTGGGTCAACGAAAGGGCGCATCAATGTTTCTGTAAACTACCTAATGTTCCGATAATGATCCGACTGATGCCTAAGAATTGCGACCAGATTGAGTTATCATTGTGAAGGTTATATGGAAAAACTCTTTGGATATGCCCAAGGGCTTCAGGCAATTAAAGATATATTATGAGTAATGCCTGTGTGAGTCATAAAGCCCATCGCAGCTTGTTTAAAAAGTTCCTGGTAGTTCATTATGAATAATGTACATCACGATTATGAGAAGAATTAAGTGGAATTTAAAAAGGAAATCGGTTTGCAAAGCAGCACTCGCTCTTCTGATAAATACTCCTTGAAATATTAGATATAAATATATATATATATATACGTAGGACTATTAATTTTCCAATAAAAGGAGTTTAGTTAAAGAGCAGCAGTTCATATGTCTTCATTGGATTATAGTCTTGAGAGTCTAAAGGTTAGATTTATTTGACTTTTCAAAAATCTCTTGAGAATCAAAAACATTTCCTTAAAACCTTTCAGAGTTTAAATCACCAAAATCCAGATAAATTTTTTTGGTTTCCAAATCTTAATTTCCTATATTTAAATATGTCTTGTTCAAAAAGAACTTTACAAATTCCTATGCCGCTATCTTCTTCGAGAACTTTTAAGATTCTCGTGTCATCCACATAGCTGTCATTTAGTTTTCCACCATCTTACACCTCAGTTATCAGGCTTAAGCACTCATCAATGTCAACGCAGCCATGTAGCGCCTAGATGTTGAACACTATCTGAACTTAATACATTCAATGTCTATGTCGCATTGGAACTGCTAGCGGCATCTTTATCGAGCCATTTGTCAATATTTAAGCTGATAAACGATCGTTAATCGAACGCAACAACAAAACCAACAACAACTGTCATTGAACTTCATTGATAAATTATGTGTTGGCGACAGGTTTTCCAGGCACTGGCGCTCAAAGCAAATACCAAAAATGCAGTTCATTCAGTTCCATAAAAGTATCGACTTTCGGCGATCCATTTGATAAGCTAAATACACATCATCCGTTTCTTGCAACACGAAGAACTTGGAACCTCATACCGTGCCCCATAACTCAATTGATATCAGATTACACTGTCTACCTGTAGCTCTCGCCCCGTCCTGTCTCTCTCACTCAACGCAATGATCCCAAATCGTAGCAAATATTTTAGTATCATGTCAACACATAGACAACTTGTGCTGCTTCTTCTTGAGAACAGAAATGAAGAAGAAGAAAAATAGATTCTCGATTTCTGGGAAGGGAAACGCATGCCCGGAAAAATCTTCTATTTTGTGTTGAACACTTGAAAGTGTTGTATAAATATTATATAGAGTGCAAACAAATCGTTGGACCCGGCACTAATTATGCTTTATGTTTGCGCTGAAAGAAATTTCATTCAAATTGTTTATTTGCTTTCGGACTTCCCCTTTGAGCAGTCGCTGAAAGCTGCATAAAAATGAGCTGCAGTAGAAATTTTTCCTCTCTGGAAAGTTGTGTTTTGATTAAATTTGGCGTAAATGCACAGGATGTGATTTTCAGTCTTTGATGAAGTTGCTGGAAAAACATCTGGTATTGAGATTTATGTCGAACTTCCAAGTATAACTTAAAAATTGTTTTTATCATTTTTTTTTTTATACCTATAAAGTTTGATTGATTTTGGACCGCGCAATATGGGCAACGTGTTATCTAAATTTTACCTATGAAACTGAAGGGGTCAGTTTGAATTCCACAACGGATATATAAAATCTGTGAGCATTTTTAAGGCATACGGAGTCGAAAGGAATGCCAATTTTACAAGGCATATCCAAGAGTTACGGTGGATATAAAAGTTGACAAATGCTGGACAACATGTATAGGCATGCTATAAGAGAAATTCAGAAGCCATGAAGGATGTGTGGATGTCCATAATCTTTGTATGGATAATATTGCCTATACTAAGAAACATGCTCTTAGAACTATGAACAGACCCGAAATAAAGGAATTTCATTAATCTAAATATATTATTTAAAGCTAATAGCTACATAATTTCACGAAAGAGGAGCAGGAAGGGGATAATTTGTAAAAGAAAAGAAAGATTGACTAAGGTACATGCTTTGATATAATTATCAACAGTATAGCCAAGGAATGTTTTTAAGATTGGAATACAATAGAAACAATTGATTATTACTAGAGTTTAATGACAATACCCCTGTAGGGCTTAGTATTATAATAAAACATGTGCTTCAAATATCTTTCCTGACACTCTCCGAAGGCAGCTCTTCGCGATTCATCAATCTACAGATATATGACATACCCGACAACATTTTGTAACTTTAGACTGCAACTTTACGTTGTGTTTATATTCGAATGTCTGGCAATTTAACAAATGTGCCGACAATTGACAACTTTTCGCCCAGTCTATTTTGAATATGGCAACGACGACCGGGCGATGTGGTGGGGCAAGGGCGCAATTTGGGGGCATATCCATCAGCAGCCAGACAATGTGCAGACTATTTACAAGCTGGAAACCACAACAGCAACAAAAAAAAAACAGCCACAGACAGATATATGGATGAAACTGATGGACAGCTGCCGAAACGTGCCTCTACGCATGACGCACGCATTGTGTGGCAGGGGAAAATTTAGCGGAAAAATTAAAAATAGAAAGAAAATTTGGCACAGCTTCAAGTCACGTTGTGGTTAAGCTGTTACGCCCATTTTGCGTAGGCGTAGACAAGACTTGTACGATTTTTTCAGCTCAAGATACTTCCACACCTAAACGCTATTAAAATGCCAAGGCTAGAATAAAAGTTTGTGAAAAGTAAAACCTGCCTGTCAAATCGTTGTGGAAATGCACGACAAAACAAATTGGCCGCAGACACGCGGCGCAGACAAGTTAAAAGCTCAAGATCAGGTTCAGTCTTCAGCTACAGATACTATGAGCTTCAGATACAGATACAAGCCGCCGGCTGTCGACTGCCGTTGGCGGCTTTTCTTTTCTTTTCGTTTCGTTTGGTTTTTTTTTCGGGGTGGCATCTTTGACAGCTGCCCCCGAGACTTAACTTTAAAAGGATTGAAACATTTGGGGCCTGCCATGATTAGTGTTCTAAATAACGCAACTGTCGCCTTGTCAGAGGCCAAACACGAATCAATGGGAGAGAAATTGACGTGCGACATGCAAAGTGATTCGACTTGGATTTCGAGTTACCCGATCGGAATCGGAATCGGGTTCAGCTCAGCGACTGGACCGACGCGTCGCTTGACAAATTGCTTAATTAATACGCCTTGATGTCGATTTGTTATTGTTGGCCATATGAAAACCTGTTGCCAGTCGACATCAAAAGCCAAATGTCCGCGCAGTTATTGGCATTTCTTTAATTAAAACGAAACTGTGCGGAATACTTAAGTACATTATTCGCTTGAAATTTTTGCAAAGCGATTTGTTTTTCAGTTCATAGCAAAAATTACGTCAGTTTCTGACCGTGTCTGTCATAATTATTTGCGGTTTTTTACGTGCATCCTTGAGAAATGTTGAAGAGACTGCATGTATCATAATTTATTGAAAATATTGTTAATCTGAATTAATGAAGAGGAAGTGAACATCAGAAAAACCACAAATTTATTTAAGTGACAATAGAATTCAAATAAAAATGTACTCTGTGCTTGTGTACTTATTATGTGATCTTCAACACTTACTACTCACATTCTTTGCGATTAAAATGAATATATTTTCACAAAATATACTTTTGTAAATATTGTAAATATTATATAAAGCAGGAGAAATGTGAAAAATATATTCGAAGGAAACATGGATTCTTTTAAACAATAATAAGAATTACAAATATAAATATAAATTCCCTTAATATGAATTGCCTTTCCCTCAAGCACTTTCTCAAAAATGAAAAGTTTTGCAAGCAGGCATAAGCTTATGACCTTTAATACTTAATGCTCACATACTTTAGGATTAAAATGAATGGAATTAAACAAAATATACTTTTGTAAATATTGTAACTATTATATAAAGCTGGAGAAATATGATATATGAATATGACATATTTAAGAACGGTGCTTAAACAACATTTAAAATTCTTAACTTTCACAGAGTTAGAAGAATTAAATTGAAGGATATAAGCAAATATGGAGAAACTTACATTTACAGCCCATTTACAGTTGAGTTCAATTTGTCGGGAAAAAGAAAGAATCAAAGGAAATGTGGATTCTGTTGAACAAAAATAAAAAATTACAAATATAAATATGAATTCCCTTAATCAAGCACTTTCTCAGAAATGAAAAGTTTTGCAAGCAAGGAATACTACAGAAAGTTGACATTACCAAAACAGTGGATCAAAAAATCATAATGCACCAAGAAAAGAAAATGAACTCTATAAAAAAAAGTATCATTTAATTTTATGCACAAACTCAAAATTTCAACAAATTTTTCCAGTTAAGCGTTTGCGAAATTCGCACAAAAGGGAATTATAAAATCAAATAGACTAACTTTCCGTATTGTATTTTAAATATTGTAATAACTATTCAGGATTAAAAAACTGTTAAATGTAGTTGCAATAGACTTGTCGCATTCGTTTAACAACTTCTCCAAGTCGTGACTAAACAAAACTAGAAAATTATCATCTTAGCTGCAACCGCCACCCATAGCTTAACCGTTACGCCACTCAATTTAAGCAGCGAAAATCTTTTGGCAAAAAAAAACTTCAAGTTAAGCTCAGCTTGAAGTCAGCTTGTTCAATAAAAACGTTAATTGCTAATCAAAAGCAGCATTTTTGTGACGCGACGCAGGATAAGCGCTTATCAAATTGCAATATCCGATAACTGGTTAGTTTACTTAGTTCGTTCAGGCGATAAAGATTTGTACACAAAACAAAAAAACCAAAAAAAAGCTGAAAGATATGCAACATCATCAACAGCGCGGACAACAACGTAAACAAGCAAATTAACGCAATTTCTTCAATGTATCTGAGAGGTACATTGAGTGTATCTCGCAGATACAAAACGACAATTAGCCAGCCATAGCTGACAACTAGGTATTACGGATTGCATATGCCATTAAATACAATAGCCAATATGGCCTAAACATACCAGAGACTTGATCTGTTGGCCATCTGGCCACAATTGGCGGCGCCATCAAATGGCCAAGCGGCGCCTGAAGCATTCGTGGGCTGACACCGTGGCTAACTCTGGCGGCGCCTTTTTACAGAAAACCAGCAAGAAAAAAAAACTAACACGTCGCAGCGCGTACGTACTAATTAAATAGTTTACAAGTCAAGTCGATTGGCAATATATTTTAATTTCATTTTTTTTTTTTGGCAAAGAGTTTGAATCGTTACGTTTTTTTACGAACTCGTTCCCGGTCGGAGATGCTGGTGAGTTTGTATGTTTTCGGGTGAAATGAATTTGTTTATGGCTGATCGCATGCAGCGTGTGCCATTAATGGCTGTCACTTGGATTAGCAGCTGATTTTTCGAGCGACCTACTTAAATTGCAAGTGCCAACTCGTTAAAATCCACTAAAGTCCGATCATGCTCGTAAATGTAATGTTTTTATGGGCATTCGCAAGTGATTTGTCGATGAAGTTTAAGTGGAAAAAATACTACCTGAACTGATTCTCTTTCTAATTCAATTTTCACCCATAAAAAAGCGATTGAAGAATTGAAAGGCGTTTCGCTTAATGTGGAAAATAACTGCGAAATATACACCGGTGGGTTTTTCTTTGCAGATTTACTTAGGTTTAACTTGGCAGGGACAAAGTTTATGAATTGTATTGCACAGCATTTTTGTTCTGCTGAAATGCAAATCAGTACTGAAACGTTTACGAACATGGCTCAAAGCAGAATTGACAAATTTAACGCTCCCGTGAGAGTAAAAAGCAAAAGAGAGAGAGAGAGAGAGAGAGAGAAAGAGATGGCGGGAGCTTGTAGATACATGCAAGGACCTAAGGCATATAAACACGTTTTATTAATATAGGGAATGATAATTGGATTTGGTAAATGGAATATTTTTAATACTGTACACATTCCTTGCTTATTTATGAATCACCAACAGCCAAAGCAAAACGACCCAATAAGAATGCCTTAGGAAAACCAAACATAATTCGCAAAAAGATGTCCACCTCCAAGCAGTTCTAACCGTACTCTAGTCTCTTGCAATTTCTTGAAAGCGTTAATCCCAGCCTGTCTAGACAATGCCGGCGACATGCCTGTCAAGCCGTCCTGTGTCGTCTGCTCAACTGCAGCAAATGCTGCTTGCTTAGCTGATGCGCTGACTCAGAGTTTATAAATTAAATTATGACATTATTGTTATGCGAGGCTCGCACACAATATACAACAGTCAACATTCAACATACACTACAGACTGCATTTATTAATAACAACTGACAGCTTATGACAAATTAACAGCTAAAACGAGTGAGCCCCAAAAGCAAGCCAATCGAGCGTAGGCGATTTTTTGTGACTTGCGACTCGTGTCTCGCCCAAAAAGTATCCAAATATATCAAATATCAAAAGTCTAAAGCTCAACCAAAACTCAGCCAGACGTAAGTAATGAGTGCGAGAGGCCCCAAAACTGCGCGCACATGCAGTGTTGGTTAACGCTTTGGTTACAAATATTTATTCGGTGCTGCTAAGCGACTCGACGCAAATGCATTTCAAGTGATTGGCAAACACGACAGGGCAAATTTTCAGAGTCCATATAGGATACCCCCCTCCTATTGGATAATGGACATTTCAACGCCTTAATGAATGAACGCGAACTGCAAACGCGATTGCAAGTGCTCGATAAGAGTTTTTGGGCTCATAAATCGTGATAATTATGGCTGCAAGTGCAGCTGTGCTTGTAACCGAAAAAAACCGAAAACATAAATAAAAAATCGATTCATCAGGCGCCAAAATTATGAACGAAAAGTATTTCTCGTGATGTTGTGGCACTTATTAAATTATTAAATGAACCGCTACACGTTGAGATCATTGAGAGAGATTTCTTGTTTTTCTCTTAAAGTATTTC